TAACTAAAATAAAGTCCTCTATACTGGAAGTGAGTCACTGGCAATAGAAGGAAAAAAGAACCTTAGTAATACAATTCATCTGATCCAATTTTAAACCTCAGCTAGAGAAAAGATTAATTGTATCAACCAATGTGAATAATTCAGATGAAGATATATATGTTGTTGCCTTCATAAATTGACATTTTTGTAGATGAATTCCCAGAGCCACATCTAGTAAATAAGCCTGTTTAAAAAGCTTTATAAATATTAATAACTTCTCATAATTACTGTTATAAGGGGTACTATATTGATGGGTTTTCCCCATTTCCTGCCCTGTGCTTCAAATAGAATTGAAATGAAAACACAGGACCAGTTCTTGCAGTAGCTCCAGTGTGGGAGATGTTTTTAGGAAGTGCTTATGAAGGGATGTACAAATGACAGGCATTGTGATTCAGTGACAACTCTGATGCTCTGCAATAGTAAGGCTTTTAAGGCAGATGCCACTTCACAGTCGGTCTGCTTAAGCATGTGGGAGGCACTGTGGCAGGTTAGAGAGCATGTAGTGTGCAGCTGCTTTATTTAGCACAGGCTCACCTGAATGCCTGTCACAGTTTCTGTGCTCAGACTGTGCAGCACAGGAGGCTGGGGCACTATGAGAGCCTGGCTCAGCAGGTTCTCCTGCCAGGCCTCTGTCTCCTTGCTGGGCAGAGATGGGGCCTTGAGTGCAGCTAGGGGACCCAGAGCAATGCAGCCTCCTGATCCAGCTGCACCTCCTTCTCCACTGCCCTCAGAGTGACTGGAGAGATAACCCTTCTAGCATGGAAGTGACACAAGGGCTCCTAGTTTAGATTCCTAAAGGCAGGATGTGTACTCTTATCTTCACTGTCTTCCCCCACCAAATACTAAGAAATGCAGAAAAGAATTTTTACCTCTTTGAATCACAAAAGACGAAATGGATAATATTCTCTTTGCAGCTGTGAAAAAGATATTGGCACATGAATTTGCATTCTTTGTCATGTTTTGCTATGTAATTTGATGATGTAAGTACCTGGAAATGTCAATAGCATCATTGTATATCAAAGTCCTTTACAAAAGTAGCTATCGTTATTACCATGGGGATGCAGAGACTAAAGGGACTCATTTGGAGTTACTCAGAAAGGAGGAGGAAATTCAAGTAAAACCCCTTTACAATTCTCTGCCCATGTGGTGACACCATCAGGATTTTTTTGTCTTTGGTACATAACCAACATGTTGTTCCAATGCAGCTGATCAGTACATCTGTATTCAATTGCAGTGACAAGGGGAAATGAGATCTTGTATACAGACTCTGCAGGATAATGTGGCCACTGCCTTGAGCTGAACACAAGACTGGAAAAAAGATGTGACCTTAAGAAAAGCTTAAACTTAGCAGTAAACTGACTCAGTGCCTATGCATCAATTGCAGATTGCTCTATAGCTTGGCCCTAGATTTTAATTCTCACTGTCACTCACTTCCTACACAGTCATATGTCTTAGCTGAGCAGTCCTTACTAAATCAGAGACAAGCTGGCTTAAACATCTGTATTGTTGTATTAGTTAAGACCAATTTTTAGTCCAGAGTAATGTTTCTGTCAATGGCCAAAGCAAGAGCATAAAAAATGGGGAACTATTTAGTGATCCCTTGATATCCTTTCCCATTCAGGCAATCATTGGTCTAGAAAATCCTGATATGGACCTCACAGATCCACAGACCTTTGTGTTCAAAAGTCTTTTATGGTTCTGTTCCAAATCATTGTGTTTAATCCCTTTTTCAGATCCATTTATGTATTTGGCCTGCATGAAATCCTGTGTAATGTTAAGGTGCAAGAGCAAGGCTTTGTTGTGAGTTTCAGTTTTTGGCAGGAGCAAAACATTTGTGTAGCTCATTTATCACAGCATATTGTATTTTCTGTGGTCTGTGAAGCTGCTACTGGAAGCAAGCTGTGACAGCTATTGAATGCCTAGTTTGGAGGCAAAGATGTTAGCAAAGCTATTAGAATTCTGTTACAGCCTGGGGAACAGAGTAAGCCAAATTTTCTATTAGGTTCTTCAAAGTGCCAGTAGTTACATAGTGACATATGGCTGTTTTAGCCAGGCTTTTATCATCCTTAATATACAATTTGATACAAATTTTAGAGAAGTAAAATATTTTTGTCCCTTGACTAAGAAGGCCATTTGACAATCAGAAAGTGTGGTTAGAACCATGAATGAGTATTAGAACCATTTCTAACAGAGCAAGTCTCAACAATTGTGTCTGGCTCTGGGGAAGATTTCTGCTTGTCTATTGTCACTAGACTTTTTTTACATGCTTTGTCCTGCTCTCCTTTCCTCCTCTGCTATTGAACTTAGCTCCAGTGTAATCCTTCTGACTTCAGTTGTCCTGAACATCACCAATATTTTATTTTAAACAGTGAAAGAAAGGACAGTGCACACTATTAATCAGTTTGTAAATATATTTTCCACTCTTTTAGACCTCAGATGCAATGTGTGTGTGTATGTGTCACAGCATTGCAACATTTCATTCAGGAAACTTTCAAGAATGTGGCAAAGATTTCCTCTTGCCCTTACAGTTTTGCATCATGAAACTTTTTATATGGGATTTTCCAAAACAATGTAATGGTCTTAGGAATTTTAGTTCTGTTTTAAAAACTAACTTTGTCATTGAAGAGTCCAATATAAAAAAAAAAAAATCAGTAGGACTTCACCTCCCTAAATACATTACCTACTCTGAAAACCAGTTTTACTTTTAGAAACAGTGAGGGGATTGCATGAACTTTTTACCCATCCCACCTTCCTGGCTTTGGTACTACAGATAAGGAACTCCAAATTAGTTTCCTGAAAGTCACTTTTACAAAGTAGCTCAAGACCTGAATTGCCAGGATGCAAAACAAGGCAGATCCAATGGCCTTAAAAAAACAGCTCCTTACATCATATGTCTATGTTGCTTATGATATTATGATAATCATAAAAGGCAAAAATTTGATTTCCTTATTTTTCACACCAGCCAGCAAAGAGTGATTTGCCAATACAGAAACTATTTCCACTGATGTCTTTCCTATTCACTGTTTTATCTACTTTACAAAACCTTCCTTTCTTAAAGAGAAATATATTTACCCTGATTAGGGTAGATTTTGAGGAGATTTAGAGAAAATCTTTTGAAAATTCATTGATTAGGAGTGCAGCTCCAAACTTTTGAAATATATCCTTTTTATCCCTTACTTTTGGCTTTAGGGAAATAGCTGAATTAATACAAGTGACATGACTGGAGAGAATGCCATGTAAATGAAGGGCTGTTTAATCCAGCAGATTATGCTGGTTTGTCTTCCATCATTTCAAGTCTTAAAACCAAGCTAGGATAGCCTTCTCAGAGGTAATGAAAATGCATGGCCTTTCTTATAAAGCTGATGATGATTTCCTTTGGCTTTGAAACTTGTGAGTCCCTGGGATTCTTGTTCACAATAAACAGCCCTTGCAAGCATGACTGATAGCCACAGAGTTTGAACCATCTGTGCATGTTGCTTTCTAAAAGCCCTCTCTTCACATCTATTATGTGGGAACTAATCTAACATCTATGGCTTATCACAGACTTGCTAGGGTAATAAGCAAGAATAGCTCAATAAAAAGAGATAAAAAGATACAAATGGGAAACATTATGCCCATTAGGAGGCAGAAAGAAATAACACATTTATTCATTTGGCATAACTGCTGTTACTTGAAGATAAAGCCAATATTATATTCCAGATAGTTACCCTTCTGAGTTACATCACCCTAAAATTAGTGCTGTTCTCCTAAAGGGATTCTGGCTGCTTTAAATTAAAAAGAGTTCGGGTCAGACTTGCCACTAGCCAGAGATTGGTTATTAATGGGATTGTGTATGATGGGACCAACAACAAATGCAGACAATAAGGTAATAGCATATCTGTAAAGGATAAAAAAAAATATGGTGGCAATTGTAAGAAAATAATTGTCTTTAATTACTGGAAAATTGTGTCACCTGGGGCCCCTATGGATTAGAAACATCTTTAAAAAGAGATGAACAAAGAAATCCAGGAAAGAAAAAAAGCAGAGATGCAAAAGTGTTGGTTAATTCTAAAAAATCAAGGCAGTTTTCTATTTGCTTGGGTGATAAAGTGATTTTTCTTAGGCATTACTAAAAAGCTTTTAGCTGTTTGTTTTCTTGTTAGTGGGTTGCCTAAAATGTCTACAATGTACCTGGCTAGGCTTGTACTCAGACAGTAACTCTGGCCCGTCTTCCTCACAGATACAGAAACTAGCTTATTTTCTTATTAAGTAACATCTTCCAAGTTCTTGGAACTATGTTGAAAATAAGATTTCATATAATCTACCAAGAAAACTGAAGTGGTCTTTCCATTCCTCTACTTTATTAGTAGTTTTTGTGGAGATACAGATACTCAGAGAGTTTATTAAATTATGCATCCCATATAAGGCAATAAAATAATTTGATATTGTCAGAAGAACTTTATCTACCTCTGTTAATGCTTGATTTATTGGATGAAACTGCAAGAAAGTATTTTAAGTTTATTATTAGCCAAATGTAGAAAAAGGTCAAAGTTCTGTGTACATCAAGGAACAGAAACACTTTGATGTTAATTTTTCCCAGACCATATTACAGCATATCCACTTGTTATGACAATCCAGATCTGATATATTATAATTTGAAAGTAAAAAGAAAATATAATTCTGAAGGTCTTCTCCACATTCTATACATCTATAGGTAATCTTCTAGCTGTAGCCAGATTTGTTAACCTGTTTCTGGGATATTAATTCTTGAAAAGAATCAGCAAGGCCTTATTCTTCTCTCCTTGTGATTTCTGTGCTTTGCAGGATTGTGCAATAGTTTCCATATTCATTAGAAGAAAAGTGAGGTACAGCATGGTATTCCTGGGAACAGTATTAGAAGAATGAAAATGCATGCTTCTTTGCATTTTTATTCAGAGTAATTACAGTTCAAACATTGCAACTGTTCCACAATGTCCCCTCTTCACTTACTTACACTCTCCCTTCACAACCACCTCTGACTGAATAACAAGGAGCAGTTCCTTTAGTACATCCACATGCCTTGGCAAACCAGAGATTTTCTACTATAGGTACAGAGTAATTATTCACAAACTGAAGGAAAAAACCAGCAATCAGAATACCTTTTACAAGTTAGAGAATACCCTTGCAAATTGCAATGGACCTCAGTTTATTTGTAATCATAGCCTCATTTTATTGGATCAGTTTTAATTTTTTAACATAGCTACATCAGCTTTACCTGACAAAATTTCAGTAGAATTAAATAGTAATCCTCAAATCATTAAAACCAGATGCCATACAGAAGGACAAGAATGGAAGTGACCCATGAGACAATCCCAACATAAGATTTTGGAGGAATGTATCAGTTGATATTAATAGTGAGAAGTAATAGTGGCTAAGACCACCTCAAGTCCAACTTTCTAAGTAAATGATTTCTGTTTCCCAACTCAAATGGAAAACAAAAGTCAGAACAAAAATCAATTTAAATCTAACAAACTCATGGATTTTACAGGAAATAGAACATTTTGGTTTTGGGTATTTTAAATGTTTCTGAATTGAATGCATTTTGTAATGCAATGTCCAGTCAAAAAAAAAAAAAATTAGGCAAATTGTTTTTCACTTTCATTTTCAGTCTTTTTTTTAGCTGAAAAGATGTAAGGAAACATCCACTGTATTGTGCTTGCTTATAAAGTGTTCTGATGAAATCCAAATGTTAATAACTATTTTCTGGAGATGATTTTTATTACTGCAAGAGCTCTATTTAGCTTTTTCACAAAGATTCTTTTATAAGGTCAGCCAGTCTCTTGAAGGCCTGCAATGAAAAATATGGTTCACATTTATATTTCAGCATTACATGAATAGGGAACACGTCAAACCTGTAAAGCTACTGAAACTGCCCTAACCATATAGAATCAATATTTTATAATGCAAAGTTCTGCTGATATTCTTTCTTTTCCTTTTATAAAATCATGTATGGGGTTTAACTGCAAAAAGCTTCCAATTCTCTGATAGGAAATAAAAGGCAGAGATTTCTGAAACAGAAAAATGCATATATTGATGTTCAAAGGTTATTTGGAGGTCAGATATAACTTCTAACAAACTAGTGATGCCTGAATGAGTATCTCTTTTAACTTAGTATTACTGCCCAGGGACTCCAAAAGTGAAAAAAGGGAAGAACAGTTGAGTGTGGAAGTATATAAAAATACAGCTTGACTGTCCATAGTATGGTTATGAATTACTTTAACAAAGAAAAAGGAAAAAATAGAAGAAATATAGAAGACCTAAATTGGCAATAGAAGCACTTATCTGTTAAAGCCTTCATAATGGCATGAAAGTACAACTACAAATACTGGACTCTTTCAAGCACCCCAATCAAATCAGCATTAAATCTGCACAAATAAATGTCTCCTATCTTTTCTCCCACTGATTTTGTAGATAGAGCCAAATAACATCAAAAATGATCCTAACACACATAAAAGATTAGTTCCTGATAATAGTATCAGGAATAATAATAATGAAATAAAAAATAAACAAAATAAATAAAACAATAAATAAATTAATAAATAGTAAAATTATGCTTGTATGTAAATTCTATGAAAGAAAACAATAGTCTTTCTTACAAAGAATTTGCAACACACACGCAAAAAAAGAACACAGGTAACTCAATCACAGCATGTTTGGAATCCAAAGTCTCAAAGATACATGATGCCTACTAATACTTAAGCAAATACTCTGGCTTCAGTAAAGCATTTATAAATAATGTCTGGGAGGTTTAACTGTGAGACACTGTATGTATGAGATACACAGAAAAATTCTAAGTGGTCCTCAAAATTGGGTATCTTGCAGATTATTTGGATGAGTATCTTGCTTAAGGAGCAGTTAATACTGCCGTGAAAGTACTGCTTAATCACCTACAGACTAAAACCTCTAACATTCAAGAAAAAATTATAAGGAGAAGGATGTAAAAAATAAAGGAGCATTACTGTGTGAGAAACTGTCTTGATAAGAATGTAAAGAAAAGAAAATCTCACCAGATCCATCTGGGCAGGAGAAGGTAGAGAGAAGGAGGCTCTGACATAAGAACTAGGCTCTGAACTATCAATATTGAATGCTCCTCCAGGAACCAGTAATACCTATGAAAAAGTGATTAAGATTAACACATAGTTAGTACCACTTCTACATTTTAAAACACTATGTTAAATTAAATTTGAGAAAGCTCAGTGCTTACAGACTTGTAAGTGTAAGCATGGTGCAATATATTCCTTTTTTCAAAGTGAGGAGACAAAAATGTGCAACCTGTAACCAGACTTTTCATAGTATAACCAAGGGGTCTTTGGTTTTGGTTACCAGGTCTTGTTCGTATCATCACAATGCTTAGAGGCACTTGGGGTGCGGCTTACTCAGTGCTGGATCTTATAAATTGGAGAAATAAACCCAAACTTAATTTCTGTCATTAAAAAAATTTAATCAGCAGCCATTATACATTTAGGTATATATATTAATATTATATATATGTCATACATAATGACATTGTACCATATGTTCTATTGGTTTCAATTTAAGTAAACTGATAAAATATCAGCATCTGAATGGAGTCATGAAAATATTTTGTTAGTCAATAACTATGCCACAGTGCCTGACTTGTAGACTTAACGATGGTGCACAGCAAGTCCCCCTGTTTTTTTATGTGTGCACATATGGATAGATACAGATATTTTATCCCTCCCTTTTGTTTTAAGATCACAAGTCATTAAATCATGTCATACTTCTTTCTTCAAAGCCTTTTCCATTATCAGCTGCTGTGTATCAGAAATACCCTTAATTTTGATCCATAAGAACATGCCAGCAGCAGGAGGGTACCATTCTGCCAAGTCTGGAGAAAGAGAGAGAGAGAAAATGGAATCAAGGAAGAAACTTATGCCCCACTTCTAATAGATACATCATAGATTCAATGATGTTTTAGATTTGCTGATACAAACATTATTATCACTATTGCTATAGCGATTTTTTTTTGTATCTTCTTTTCAATTAAGGTCACTATTTCTGAGATTTTTTGAAGACAGATATTTTAAATATCGAAAGTATGAGAACATAATGAAGTGAAATACAGGCTCTTTGTAAAATTGCTTTAAATAGTAATGTGGTGAGCTTTTTTTCATCACCATCTATCTCCCTGTCCTACCAGAAAGCACAAAAATGCAGCAATAGAGTATTTGTCCTAAGCTTAATATTTAATGCAATTGATTGTCACTTCAGTCAAGAGATGAACTTCAGTGATTTTTCTTGAGCACAAAGATGATAAACAGCTAGCAAAAAAATTTAAGTGATTATCTGTGTTGCACTCTGACCTTTTAACCACTTGTCAGCAGCAGTGAGCATTGCATCCCGCTGGATCCTGTAGAAGTCCACCACTCTGAAAGCAAATTATCAATTCAAAGTCATGACCTCATATCCTTTCAGGGCCTATTTGTTTCTGGAGGCAGAAACAAAGCTTTCCTACTTGAACAACTCAAGTGAACAAGCACATTTAATAGAAATGTAAGAATATCCTAAGTGGGCACAACAGAGTATACTGTGTATATGAAACTTTGTATATGTATCCAAGAAGTCTTTACTGCTTCACTGCACCTCCAACAGAGCACTGATCAACCAGACAGAGGAAGTCCCTGTGTACCTGTTTCTTCAGCTTTACACATATCACAGAAACCTTTTTTTATATATTACATCCAATCTGTCTATTATAGCAGTGGATAGAAGTCCTGTTAACAGCATTTACTGCACAGAGCACACACACTGAAGAAAATTAGGGACTTTAACATATGCAAAAGCACAGACTTAATATATGTGCATTTGGGTTGAATTTGTGTAACAGGTACTCATAGAAATTACATTTAACAAGGTAAAAAGCAAATCATATGATAAAGCTGTCACAGCTATTTGACAGCTTCCCCTTTCTAAGCTTTTGGACATATCTCCTTCATACTTCAAGTAAAATTTTCAAATAATGTAATCTCTTACTGGGAAAAATGACCCTAACCCAGGTTTCACCATGGACAAGCCATGTGCAGTGCCTTTTGTCAACATAAAATGACACAGCTGTGCAATAGAAGACACAAGACAAATGCCTGATACTGAGTTCATAATTCAAATGCAAATGTGTTCCCATGTCTTGAGAAAACATCCTTAGTAATTTGCATAATTTACATAATTTTACATTTGTAGTTTTAAAAATACTTTCTGAACCAATAGTTTTGATTTATGGATGTATTTTATTACATCTGATACACAAACACCAATACCTCCAGAGACTTTTAAACAGCTTTGGGGCTCAGTATATCTATTGCTACATTCTATATGAGAGAGTAAATCTCCTTTGTGCAGCTTTTACCAAAGCTGCAAATCCTGTTACTATTTAAATTACATATTGAAAACACAACAATTACTAAAATGAAACAACCCCAAAAAAAGTAGCTGCTCCAAAAAAAACCAATCTTCTACTCCAAATCCTGATCTAACACCTCACCCTTGTACAAGTGAAATCAGCTGGAAGAGACTGCAGTCAGCTGTGAGGCTTCATCAGTAAGGTTATAAAGCACTGCAGCTGCCTCACTATAGCCCTGTTTTCATTTGTTTAAGTGGAAGAACAGCCTCCAAGCTTGATCAAGGCTGCCTTTTGACCTACACAAAGAGGTAAGTGAAGAGATGCATTTGGGATTTATTTTTTGGGAACTACTGAAAGTTGAGTTAAAGTGTGGTCCAAGTTCCTCGGTGAGATTTCTCTTTATATTCCTAAATCTTAAAACAAAGCAATGCTAAGGCTGATGTGTCTGGTTTGGTTTTTTTTTTCCAAATATTGCTGTTAACAGTATGAACATCAAGGGGGCACAAGTGGCTGTTACAGTGAGATATAAGAACTTCTTGCACGTTTTGCTCATTTTGCTGTCACAGGCCTTTGCAGAGTGTAGCACACTCCTACTGAAGTGAGAAACTTGTGGCTCTAATGATATCCAAGTAGAGCATATAAAATGAGGCACTGACTGTCAAGAAGGCTATGCTGTCCTGCATAGTAAATGAAAACTAAATGTGTGTCAGTCAGTATGCAAGAAATGTCTTGTGAGTCAGACGGTAGCCCAGTGCTCTCTAACAGTGAGAGGCAATGTTCAGGCACTGTTTACTGTGTGTAGATAAACTTCACTGTTTTTCCATCAGTATCCCCAATCAGGAGATCAAGGATGGCAAGAGTGTAAATTCCTGCTAACTTAGTGAACTCCCTTTATAAAGGCTATGCTGACTCTTTCACAATAGATCCTGTGCTCAGAGATCTCAGCTTTTGCTATAGACCCTAACATTTTAGCAGGGATCAAAACTTTTTTCACTGGCTTGATGCTTCCAGGATCCTCTCAAGTTCCCTTCAGGTAGGAGCTGCATGATGCCTGTGCCAATGGACTGGTGGATTGTCTGCCTGGAGCAGGAGGTGGCATGCCCTGACCTGCCTGTCTGCAACCTCACACTGTGTCTTTTCGGGGCTCTTGTGTGAACCCAGCAGTCTTGGTGATCTGTCTTGCCTACTTGGCCTAATACTGGTGCACCTCCTCCGACTTTTTTGCTACAAAGGATGTTTGCTGTAGGCAACAAGTAGCAGAATGACAGATGATGAAATTCAGCATAGGACATAACCCTACCTGTCTATATGCTCCAAAAAACCCTTTTGTCCCCATTGCTGAAGGAGCTGTGATATCATAATCTAAAGAAATAAAATACATCATCAATACCATGTTTTAAACAGGACTGTTCCACAATTATCAAAAGATCCATGGCCAGATGCACTATTCAACATTCCCCAGACATGAAATTGCATGCGGTGTCTCTGGGAGCCCTTATAAACAGAGGTGCCAAGGTTATTATTGTCCATGTTACTGGTGTCTCCAAGGACCATGGCATTGGTATTTGGAAGCTGGGGTGGGGGGAGGGAAAAATGGATGAAGAGCTAAATATGGTGCATGGGGAGAAAGAGGAAGGCAATGTATATTGCCTTACCTTCCTGTCCACATCGGCCTCTCCACTTTAACAGGGACGAACTAATGGAGCTGGAAGGTGGAAGCCGTATTTAGATGTGTTCACTGTCTCCTTTCCTTAGTACTAACCATAAAGGGGCTGTAGTTGTCAGCTTGCTTTGAAATGTCTTTGTGGGCTGCCACTATTGTTTTAATTGAAAAGTAGAATAAAAAATAAAAAATGAGTGTTTCTTCCATACTGTGCTTTACATTAAGGTTTTTCAAAAGAACCGACCAGGAAGAGATAAAGTATTTCAAAACTTGACTCTTGAAATCTGAGGGTTAAGGGATATCAGCTGAACTATCCATGCACTGGGACAACCCTCTAGCTCTGGTTCTATGATGGTCTCTCTTCCTTTGGCAGAATTGACAACGCATATGCATAAACAAAACTGTAAAAGTGCAGAGCAATTATGAAAGTACAAAGCTGTTTGCTTGCAGTTTCTTGTAACTTAGGATATGTTGTGTCTCTAAATACAATTCATCTGGTGGCTTGGTACTTGCCTGTGTGAAAGTGCTGGTGTGCATTGTTGACACCTGAATGTGTAGAACAACTCTGTCAATGAGAGGCTTGGGACCCGTCAGAAAACCAATTCTTAAACTGGAACCAAACAAACAAAAAGTTACCACAAAAAGGCAATGTGTTAATACTTTTCTGAGTTATATGTGGGAAAACATGCAACAATTTCATTGATAGTGTAAGGATCTCTTATGCATTCAGATTTATCTGTATCTTAATACTGCCCTCAGGTTATACAATTTAGAAGCTGAGTATCAAAGTAATGAAATAAAAACATTTAAGAGGTTTTAATGCTTATTAGTAGCTTCTTAGTTATGAGGCTTCAGGACAAAATCTATGTTTAAAAGCTATCTTCTGCAACCATAAAGATAACATGAATCAAAGGGAAAGAAAGACAAGTTTTCCCATAATAAAAGATCATGAAGGCTCAGGCTTTATGACAAACAGGTAAGTGGCAAATTGCTTTACTCTTTCACTCCCTTTCAATACTGCAGAAGGAATGGAATATAGATTGATAAACTAGATGGTTCCTTATGATTCAATTCTTATTACCCATCTTTACAGATTGGCTGAAGTTTTTATTTGAAGAAAAATGGAGCCTGTAAACTCATACATATCTTTGGAAAAGATAATACTATGTCATGCCATTTTGTGGTGTCAGTTCTGAAAACGCAATCACACCTAGCATTATGTTGTCTCCTCACTTTCTCTAGGATGGGTTATAATCCACTGTCTGCCAATGCAGACTTCACATTATTTTTTTTTATATCTATTAGGTTAACAGACAAAAGCAAGCTAAAAATCAAATACATTGACTTGTGTGAAATGGAAAACAGCCAGGTTGGTTCTTTTTCTGGCAGGTGGAAACAACCTGAAAGAACTGGAAAGCTAGATATCAGTACAACCCTATGAACAGTTTGTTAAGAATTATAGTTTCTTTTCTGTGTTACAAGTTCAGGGAGCTTGCAGGAATACTAAGCTACAGATAAAAAGGGAAATGGAAAAAAAAAAGAGCGAAAAGCTCCTAAGATTTCCAGGAACAGAGCTGGAATCCAGCATCTGCCTTTCTGCCTAGATTGTGCCTACAAGAATGGGCTGCCTGGCGGGAGAGGCTTCGCTATCTGCTTCAGAAGAGAAACAGAGCCTGGAGTAAAATGACTGCCAAGAGATGACATGAAAAGTGAGAAGAGTGCAAAAAGCCGTTGATTCTGAAGTTCATTCCAGAAGTGGATAGTTAGTAAATGAGAAAACATTATGGCATGTCTCATCACTTCATATGAAGCCTTGCATCTTAAGTGAATAGGCAATGCTAAGTGGTCTGCAGATGGCCTTACCCAGATGAGAGAATTTTAGAGAAAGAGTCGGTCCTGATAACTCGGCCATCCACATCCATTGAGAGGAAAGTTGGAGCCCATGGCTTGGAATAAAGAATAAAAAACAAAATTCAAGGATTTTTGCTAGTAAGGATTATAATGGAATTATTTTCTTTACTAGGAAGACACAATTAATTTCTCAAATGTGTGTTCCAAGGAAAACATTTCAGTAACTTGTTGACAAGTGATTACTTAGCCTAGCTTTCTGAGATGTGATTACAGTATTCTGTGAACATCTTCAAGAAATCAGCTTTGTTATTTTTTGATGATTGCTTAGCCCACTGTTCAGCACACAAGTGTTCAGTTTAAGAATTGGTATGATGCCATAAGAAGGAGAGAGAAATAATGATTTTTCTGCCAAGATTTCTTGTGGAGTAAAGAGGTATTGCAATTTCTAAAATGGAGCCTTGTAGCATTTTGCTTTGCTATATTAAAAAGTGAAATCAGAAGATAGGACCAAATTGTGAAGATCTGAATCCAGCATACCTTTTACTTATCATGAATTCTGTTTTTACACCTTTTTCCCTACATTTTCTTACAAAGCTTCACAATACTATTCAATAAGTGTGGCAGTTTTATTGCCTCCTTCCATAAAAACATATTTCAAAAGAGAAAATGCTGACCTTTATCTTCTACCAATGTTTTAGTGCTTTTTAAGACCCATTTTGATTTCTGACGTTAGGTGCTTTTGAAGACTGAGTAACTGCAGATTCACATATGAAATTTGCAGAAAATTTACAGGAAGGGAGGCTGCCTATCCAGTGCCATTATATGTGGTACCTGGGAGAACTCCCAGATCCTCCAAAAGGCAAAGGGATATAGTAGGTGCAGAGTATGCAGTCTTCTGCTGAATGAAAGAAGAGATGGGGAGAAAGGAACATTAAGAGGCTGAAATTTTCAAAGTGCTGCTTCAGTGACATACTTGCTTTGCTCTGAATGCAAAGTCTTCGTCATTTTCTGATTACTGAAAAATTCTATCCTGTATGAGGCTTGAGGAATTTGAACCACTAATTACCAGGATATAAAATACCACAAAGGGGAAAATTACTGAAAGGAGCACAGACTGTCAGGCCTACAACTGCCTTGGTAGGATGTGAAGAAGAGGTATGCAGGAAGGTTCAGGGCTCAAACCTTAGTTCTCTTGTGAAACCTTAGTTTCTCCCCAGAAAATAAGGTGTTATAAGGAGTATGAAAGAAAAATTACCTTTTCAAATTGAAGAAAGTAGTAAGGATCATCTTCTATTATGAGAAAATCATATTTTCTTGCAAGCTGAATAAGTTAATAAAAAGTAACAAAAGAAATAAGAGTTAAAGACGCTGCAAATTCAGTCTGGTGGATTTTTTTTTAACCAGCATCATATTATGATTCTATTGATTGGCCATTCATTATCTAGAAGCTCCCATGATAAGAAGCCTTCAAGTACCCAAGTTAGATATCAAAAAATTGTAAGAGTAATCATGGTACCTATAGTACACAGACCCTTGTATGCAACTGAAGCTCTGTTCCATGTGGCATTCAAACCGTGCAGGCAACATGCAGTAAGTCCTGTTAGAAGCCCATGGCAAAGGTACCAGCTGCCAGTGGGCTACCATTGAAAAACAATTTACCTAAGGCATAGTCTACCTCTGAAGAGCTGCTGTGGAAGAAATTCTGCTAGAAGCAAGTTCTGGGAGGACTGTTTACTGGACCAATAATGGGCCTGAACAGCAAACACAGGATATCTTCAACTGAAACAAGACTGATATTTATCTATTTCCACCTACAAGGTTCACAAGACCACAGCTCCATACCTGGTAAATTTCCTTTTTGCGCTCTGCGGTCAGCGAGTTGCCAGTTGGGTTGCATCCATTTGGAATAGTGTACAGGAATTTGGGGAGGTGACTGCTACAATTTTTTACATCCTCTGGGCTCCAAGCAGACAGAATTTCTTTTAAAGCTTCTGGAATAATGCCGTGTTGGTCACTAGGAATATTAATTATATTACAACCCAAGGGTCTCAGCTGTTGATAGAAAGAACAAAACTGTCATAATTGTGTAATTCAAAGGCCTTCCTTTTGTCATTGTCACCATAACATTTCATCAATACAAAGTCTTTCTTTTTGATTTTCTAGACATCTCAAGCTCCATTTGCTCATGAGTCAAATAAAAGTTTGCCTGAATTTGCTGTAAGGCTTGTGACACTTACCACATTACTCTTTATTTGTTCTAGTAAGCCAACTCAGAGGAAATGGGTAACTCCTATGTTCAATTGCTGCTCTTTTCTAGGAAATCAGGTTTGGTTTTTCAAGTGGAAAGGGAGTTTGTGAATCTGAACTGTTCTCTTATGACTTCTCATGCTCTCACCACAGACAGTTAGGGTCACAGCACCTTTGTTTCCTACTGACAATATACACTCTACTTTGGTGGAAATGTCAGAGCTTTAAGCTACTCTTCCCTGACAAAGGGCAAGAAATCTGTTCTCTAAATAGATAAATTCAGCAATAAAAAGGAGAATGAAATTATGCTACTGCAGTGACATGTTGACAGCAGCATGAAAAAATATAGGTAAAATACCAATGAAAAAGCTTGCTGTCCCTCCTCTGTGGAATTTCAATTTGTACCATGTAGTGCTCTGCATTTTTAAGTAAAACTGCAAACTGCTGCATTGTCAAAGTACATTCCTAAAAAAGTACAGTTGATTAGACTATATATTCAAATATAGGACAGTAAGCAATAACAATTTATTTTGATGCAAGGGGGGGACAACTGAATTTGTGGTGTATTTATTCTAACCCTTCTTGCAACTCTTATGCATTTTGAGGCATTTAATTTTATACTGATTAAACTACTTTTCAGAAGTAAACTTTGCTGCTTTTGTACAGTTCTCCCTAATTCATATCTTTGTACTCATATATGGCTGCTTCAGGCCTATTCCAATATTGCACTATTTATATCTCTTGTATACTCTGATCATTAAGTACTTCAGGTAAACATGCTGACATGTTAACACACTCACTTGTTATAAATTTAATTCAACTAAACTAGGTCCTGACAGCTCTCTTTCCAGTCCCATATGTGATGTTAGCCCTGGAATGAACTAGTGTTTGGAAGAGGAATTTCAAATAGCCTTCACAGAACTTTTAGTAGGAAACCTTCTATGAATTAATATTTATGAACTTAACTGGTTGGACACTAAAATCTTGAGTCTTAGATATGTTTTTATGGCAAATACAGACAGTGCTTATAAGACTGCAGATCAGGCATTAAACTGCTGTTTAGTTCAAATGTAACATTGACAATGTTTTGTAGCTAAGGAATACTTACAGCTGCCAGTGTCCCCGAGTATGTGGGTGCATCCAAAAGGATGTTGTCTCCAGGATTAATGAGCATTTCAAACACCTGCAAAAGAAAATATTCTGTTTTAAAGATTGGTCAGTTTTTATACATGTGCTTTGTACTTTTGACTTCTTAGTGGGGTTAAAAACCTTAATTAGATACTAGTAATTCCCCAAACATATCAATATCTTGTCTGTGAGAAAGACAATGAATGCATGAAAAATCTGCTTTAGAGCCAAATTAAGATCGGTGACCAACTTGACATGGAAAGAGAATGCTCTGAAGCACCCTTTCTACTGTATAAGTTATAGAAAGAAACAACTAAACAGCAGTGAGAGTGGACTGGAAAGGGTAATTATTTCAGGAATTAAAAACCCCAAAAAATTAGGAAGTAAAAATGAGAAGAAACATTTAAAATAGAGTTATGGTAAAGCCTCTATGCACTTATTATTGCACTACTTGAGTAACATGATGTGTTATCTTATTGCATGTTTCCTACACAGGCTCTTTGGTCACCTGAACTTTTATGCAGTCCTGACAGTCTAGAATGCATTTCCCTTATCTTGTGCATAAACCCAGAGTAATTCATGTCTATGGAGAAAGTGTACACAAAACAGTACCCTGCACCTAGTTACAGAGAGCACCTAATGCTGAATATAGCTGAAGTGATGGAAGAATAAACATCTCTCTGAATGAAATGCTTCTAACATATGAATCTTTTGGTCTTACTTTACACAAGCCTTCCTGGCTGCCAGTTGTGACACACACTTCCATCTTTCCTTGCTCAGGGCTGTAATTGGCTGTGGGGGGATCATGTAAGTTCCGCTGGAAATCTTTCAGCCAAGACAACAGCTCTGGAATGCTGAAATGTGAATAAGAAGGCATATCTCAGACCTTATATAGGCCAAAGCTAGTCTGTTCCTCTAAATCCCTGCCAAATGTAGCATGCAGTCCTGAGTTTGGTTTCAACTGTCACACAGATACACTTAAATGCGATTGCTATGACTGCTTTTTCAAATTTAGAAAATGAAATAATTTAGAAATAATTTCTGCCTGTGGTCCATACACCAAATTATCATTGTGAAATCTGGGCAGAAATTATTCACCAAGGATGAAACAAGGTGGAGGGTGAACAATACCCACTCCTAGAAATGATCATTCTGTACTCAAATCTGGCAGTGTGCCAAGGTTCTTAATGCTGCTTGTAACCTGCTGCAGATTACAAGGATTTCCAAAACAGGTTTTCAAAAAAATATCTTAAGATCTTGTGGGATGTTCACAAATGGCTGGTTCATTTAAATGTTAAGGAAAGTTTTAACTGATGCCCCATGGATCTCTGTAGGTACCCCAGTCTTTTTGCAAACCTGTCCTCACCTGACTCAGTGCTGTCTGCTGAGAAGTCTACATGAGCATAAAGCAATATAATGATATGGAATATAATGATTTGTAATTTTTGTACCAAAAATGACAATTCTATAAATACCTCCACCAACTACCACAAGTTCTACACACTGACTTCAGTATATGGTGCCAAATGAAAATAGATACTCCAAAACATAGAAACGATGTGTTGTAATGCAGTATCTTCTAAATAAAATCTGATTTGGATGTCTGGATTCTCAAATACAAATAGTTGGAAATGCTCTGGCCTGAGAAATACTCGGATTAGGGTTTTAAGTGGATTTTTTTTTCTTTTTACATAACTCATTGAAAAATTTTCCACTGGAACTCAAATGTAAATAGTGAGGCAAATTGAAAAAAAAACCCATGGGTTTTGGGAATAACCTATTTTTTGAAAAAAAGGGCTTTATGAGCAGGTTTTAAAAACACAGGTGACTTAATGCAATAATAAAGGATATTATGATCCTTAGCTTCTGGTATCTTGAAGTGCAAGCAGCTGTGACAGATACCCTGCTGAGGCTGAGTACTGGAGAGCTCTCTTCATCAGATCTTCCCCAATCTCAATAGGTGTTCCATGTCCAATGTCAACTGTTGCCCTCTTAAATGGAAAGACATTAGGATTTGGTGCCCCTCCAGCCAGAGAGATAAGAGATGGAGGAGACTTCTGCATCAATTCAGCTAGAGTAAAAGGAAAACACCTTGGTTACAATTTGATTATTACAATGGTGATAATTTCCTTTAATCAATATCTAATAATGGCCCAGAAAACTTCTTCTATTTTTCAGTTTACTTGTTTAACTATCATGAATTCAAAAGGATAACTCTTCTTAAAGTCAGCTTTCTGCTTGGATTAAATAGGTGTTTGGGGGCCCCAGGAGGGAGATACTGCTAGGACAGACTAAAACAAAAAATCATTTTAAGTTAAAAAAGCTATTTGTAATTTATTTTGAAACAATCTGGACAGCTCTGTTACAAAAACTGTCATGACTGATGTCTTCTGAGCTTCAAGAATTTAAAATCTAAATGATCTTCTGTTTAGACTGACTTGAAATGAATGGTTTTGTTTTTTTTTCTGTTTTTCATTCAGTCTCACTTCAGCTGATCTGTCAGCTATACTGACAGATGATTTTAGCTTTTCTATAAGGGAATGGAAATGTTTCTAGCAGCCCAGATTTAGTGGCAGAGGTACTGTGTAAGTAATTTGCTATGAAGAAAATCTTAATTCCTGCTTTTAAGTCACAGTTTCACAATCATTCAGATCCAATCTATGCAGTGCAGACCAGACGTTGATCCAGCAAGGGCACTTGATTGCATTAAATCTAAGAATTCCCAATATGGCATTCATGCTGGCTTGACAGTTTTACATCAGATATGAGAGGACAGATGACACCAGATCTGGCTTAAAAGTGGCCTGTTACAGAGTTTATTTCCCAGTACTTATTAGCAGACTTGAACATAGGGAGTTAATTCTTATCAGTTATTTCACCAATTTGTGTTATGCCTGTGACTTTTGGCCTGGTAAAGAGAGATTTACTTTGTCATCAAAACTGCAGGCTCAGTATGTCTATCTACAGGAACCGTGCTGCTTAATACTTCTGTTATGATGCATATTAACGTACCACTTGAAAAAGAGGCGGCCTAGAGTGCACTACATGACTTTGCTGTACCTGTGTGAAGCATTTTGAGCAGAACAGCAAATGCCAGCCCCTTACCAAGAGGGGAAATTGACCCCTGAAGGCTTAACTAGTGATGTATGTCTCATGCTTGGATTCTGTCAGGTCTCTGTGGGTTTCAGCTGAGTAAACAAGCAGGCAGTTAAGCCCTTCCATCTGTCACATGGAAGACAATGTAATGTTGTAGCCTAAAGACAGATTAATATGGAAAAGGGAAGCGTAGTAATACTGGGTGGGTGGGGGTGCTGAGGCATTTATAGACATGAACAGGATACAGTAAAATGAAGTGGAAAGAAACCTGCAGGGACTGAATTTCAAGTCACTAGCAGTTGCCTGTTCCTGGACATACAACATAAACTCAGTTGCAAACTGTGCCAAAAGCCTGCGTTCAGAGACAGTAGCAGAGACTTTGCAGATACTTGTAAAAGTGGTAATTCTAACTCATCTGTCTGGATGGGTTTCTGAAATGGTTCAAGGCTATTCACCTTCTTTTTCTTTATACCTGCTTGACATCTCTGCTTAACAAAAGTGAAGTTGCTTTGTCATTTTACAGCATGGTTTTCTTTCAAACCTTTTAAAGTCTTAAGCCATGATACTCCAGCACAGACCAGAACATAGAATGGTACGATCAGAGAAACTGGGAGGAAGGGACATGTACTCACTCAGCAGTCTTATTGGAGATGCTTTTCTTGCTGCACTCACAGTGGTGATGAACCTAGAGTAATTCATATCTATCGAGAAAGAATAATTAGTTGGACATGAAGCTAGAAAAGGGAATAAGAACTGCAGTGTGCTTTTAGTATGTGCATCTCCCACAAATAATGCTTTTGATCTGGGTAATTTGTGGTATGCCAGTGAGCAGGAAAAATCCCCTTTCCCCTCCCTTTACTGTCAGCTCTGGAGTTTTAATGGCAAATTACAAATCCGAAGATTTGATGGATCTTAAACAACCACCAGCTCTTTTTTAGTTAATGAGAAGCCGGCTTTATTTAGCTCTATTAAGCACTGCATTTGAAGTGCTTTTAGGATTGCAAGCCATCATTATAAGTCACAACACTCGTCAAGTTAGAGGTGGGGTATTTTTTTGGAAAGGATAATTAAGAACGTCTTTCAAATGCATTTGATGAGTGTTTTCCTCCTTTTCCCTGGTCCCCATAGAGTTCGCTATCTAGTGAACTACAGTCTGGCAGGAAGCACGATGGCCTGGAAAGGCCACAAGAAGGAATCTCCTTTGAAGGGACAGCAGGCAGGGAACTGAAATGGAAGGGCAAAGAGCAGCCACAGCAACACGCATGTGCCGCCGGTTACCAGAAACGACCTACCGAGAAAGGCCGCTTTGAACAAACACATCTCGCGTTTCCCAACACCGCCTCCCGAACTCCGCTCCCCCCGCAGCCCGGCACAGGCGCGCTGCTGCCCGTGCACAAGGGCGGGCTGGAGCTGTGCTCTGAGGGACAGCTGAGCGCCGCTTCGCCGCCATCCCGAGACGCCCCTGCTGCCCACCCACCCCCAGCTCCCCGGAGGGGGCACCGAGCCCCCGGGGCCATCCCGAGCTCACGGCCGGTGCCGCCCCGCTGTGCGGAGGGTTCGGCGGCGGCCGCGGGCACCTACCGGCGGAGGGCAAGGACCCGGCGGCCGGACAGGGGGCAGCGGCGGCCCCGCTGTGGGCATGGGCCGGGTTAGCCCCGCTGTGGGCGTGTGCCGGGCCGGCCCCGCTGTGGGCGTGTGCTGGGTTGGCCCCACTGTGGGCATGGGCCGTGTGCCGGGCCGGCCCCGCTGCGGGGCGCTGAGCGGACGCGGGGCCCTGGCCGGCGCTGCCGGCTGCAGCGATTGGCGGCGCGGGCCCGAAAGCGGTCGGTCCGTGAGAATGCCCTAAAACGAGCGGCTTCCTCACGGGCTCCGTCTGTGTAGTGCCAGCGAAGCGAGGGCAGGAGCCCGACAGTGCGGGGAGAGGCGGGGGCAGCGGGCAGGGGGCCCTGCCGGGGGCTGGGCAGCCCCGGGTGCGGCCAGGACCCGGCCGCCAGCGGCGGGGCGAAGCAGGAGCTGGCAGTGAGGGAAACGGAGGAGAAATACAGAATGGTTTGGCTTAGAAGGGACCTTTAAGATGATCTAGTTCCAGCCCCCCTCTGTTAAAAACGGGACCAGACTCCTGGTACTAAAAGTGATCTCGGCACTTATTATAAGAAAAAGAACGGCCTAAAGCAAGGGGCTTGCTGGCCGAGCCGGGGCGGTCCCGTCGAGGATGCTGCAGCGCCGGCGCTGGGTCTTCAGCAGCGAGGTCCCCGATGTTCCAGGTGGAGCGGCACAGCTTCCCTGGGTCGGATGCCCCTTTTTAACCTGTTTTTTGTCCCTTTGGATTGGTTTCTTTTTGGATCCTTCCTTTGCATGAAGGTTTTAGGCGGTTGGTTGGCCCATTACAGTTTTGCCCAGATTGGCTCGTTTTGCCTGGGGAGTGCTGCACTTCACTTAGGTGTGTTATGGTATGTTGCATACCGTATTTCTTATAACTACCCTTTTAACCCCTTTTACAATATAACAACCGAACTAACAGTACATGCTTAACGATTATCAGCTATTTTACAACAGTTTCTAATTGTTAGAAGGCAATTACCTAAATTTAGGTAATTGCCTTTCTAACCTATTTTTAACACCCCTGCCACGGGAAAGACACTTTCCCCTAAGTTGCTCAGAGTTCCATCCAACTTGGCCTTGAACACTTTCCAGGTGGAGCATTCATAGCTTCTCTGGGAAACCTGTGGTAGTGTTTCATTACCTTCACAGTTAAGAATTTCTCCCTATTATCCAGTCTAAACCCACTCTTTCTCAATTTGAAGCCATTCCCACCATTGGGATGCCACACATTGGCAGGTGTAAAAAGCATTCTTGTCGCCCCCTTTGGGTACTGGAAGGTGCTCGAAGGCGTCCTTGGAGACTTCATTTGAACAATCCCAATTCTTTCAGACTTTCTTTATAGAAGGGGTGCTCCAGCCTTCATGACCTTCCTGTGCCCTTGCTCCAACATAATTTCTGTGCTGGGAGCACTCTGGATTAATCAACTTTATGATGTTTCCACTAAAGGTTTTGCTCATAAAAGGAAGCAAAGTTTGAGGTGTGACATCTGTAGGTAATTTTTTTCCCCCTACAGATAAGTAGGATCAGTGGAAGAAAAAGCAGGAGGGTGGTGTGACATGTCTGTCCTTGCTGGATGTCACATGCTGCTGCTTGTGCAACACGTGTAACTGGTGGTGTAGCTGCTGCTGCTGCTTAGAAAGGTGCAGAGACATGGTGTCATTATCCAGTCATGCCTTTGGACTCCAGCACTCTGGGCTTGCAATGACCCTTGCTCCTGAGGGCACAATGCTAGAAAGGGGTCTAGGTGTAAAGTAGTCTGAAAGAAACCCATGCAAGAGCATGCAAAATCAGCAGGGCTTTGCAACATATAGGTCTCTGTACTTAGCTTGGAGACAGGAGAGTGAAAATACTGGATAGTGTCACTATAGGACGTGAAACAACATGACGTGGACTTGCTGTTCTTTCCAAGGTAAAAAAGGGACCTTTATTTTTAATTCTGACTCCAACATTTATAGGTTTCTAAAAGTGACAGTGAATTGGAGGGTGAAAGTGCCACCTCTCCAATAACACTGAATAAACTAACAGTCCATCAAATTTCTCCTCCTCCATAAAAGAATGCAAAGCAATAACAAGAAGTTATTTACGTAAAGTGTGTAAGAAAGTTGGTTACAAGAATCAGACAGTAAACATCAAAAAGTTTAGAAAACCTTAAAAATCAAGGCAACAGGGTGGGATGGGCGTTGGAGCATTTCTAGGCTCCAATGCATTTCTAGGCTTTAATTCAGGAAATCACCAGGCCTTATGGTGCCCAGTGCTCAAAGCATGTTTTAATTGGAACCTTCCAAAACTTGCTGAAGGCAAAGCTGAGGTATGAGAGCAAAATGTCTCTACAAAAAAGATGAGGTGCCTTAACAAGTTACCGTTTTCTTCTCTCTGCTTCTTTAATTTGGGTGACTTTATGCAGTATTTGGATCTGCTGAAAGGCTTCATAATTAGATGGAGTAGGTTGAAATAGAAATGGAGTTCCTGTCAAGTTTGGGATGCAGTCAGGAAGAATTGTTTTCTTGGTTGGTGTGTGAATGCTCTTACACTGAAAATCAAATTCTATTAACAGCTTTAATGATCTGAAGAATTTATATTTTAGGTAATTGCCTTCTAATTGTGTGATGTACAGACAAAAAAGTAAAAGATGGATATATAAATGTGAAATAGCAAATGGAGAGATATTGAATTTCTGTGGGGTTCTGGCTGTGAAAGACTGATTGAATTTGAACTGCCTTCTGTGTAATTCTGTTTTTTCATTTCCTGGCTGTCAGTGTTGCAGTTTGTGACACAGACCAAAACCCAGAGAAGTCAAAGGAAGGTTTTCCATTTTCTATGGATTTTTGTGGGCTTTGTCTGGTCTCTTAGCCAATTATGGTGTCATCCTATTGAAACAAATTAAAAAAATAAATTAGCATGAAATTGTTTGGATACCTATCCCAGCTGGATTAATCTGGCAGTTCTCTACATCACTGTTTATATCCCTTAGCAACCACAAGTTGAGTGCTCTGTCACACTACTGTGTAAGAAGTCCTGTCTTTGCTGTCTTTATTACGTGCACATTTAGAACAATAATGATTTAATGCAAGCCTTGCATAATTCACAAAGCATCGGCAAGGTCTACATATGGTTGTTGTTAGTGTCTCCTGTCGTCTGTAACTGTACTACCTCTTCTAAACTTGCTTTGTGCTATGTCCACTTAGGAGTTAAAAAGTGCAAACAACAAGCAGGACAAAAAAGCCGAAAGCAACTTGATTTAAGAAGAACAGGGAGATTAGGTAAGTGTTGTTTGCTGTTTTCTTCTCCCCTTAGGACTTCGGAGTATTTCTTTAAAGAGGAGGACGAAGGATTGAGAATGTAAACACAAAATTTAACAGAGTTGCTGTTTTTGCAACTGTATCGACAAAGTGTGAATCTCTCCAAGGCGCTGCGCTCTATCCTGGGACGCTATACATTTGTTAGTTTCACTGCGTGTGTTCTGTACTGCCCTGTTTGAAGCGGTGCTTTGGCGCGGTTACCCGTGAGTGCGTGGCAGAGCCGCGCTGCCTGCAGGGCCGCTCCCGAGGCGCTCCCAGCCGGCGGTCCCGGCGGGTCCGTGCCGGGGCCGGGCCCGCACCGGCGCTGGGCGGTCGCACGGGGGCGCGTGCGCACCGCGAGTGGAGCGGGAGCTCAGCTCGAACGCCGTCGGCGCCTTTCACTCGGCTGTGGTTTGTACCTGTGACTGACTGGGAGTCCCGCCTGGACAGCTCGGCTGCCCGCCTTTCACTGAGCGCGTTAAATCTCTGCCCGCGGTGCTTCTTGCGCGTTGGGGACGACAGAACTGGCAAGCGGCGCTGTCAAAATAGCCTTACGATGTGACGGTGGGAATTTTATCCTGACGAATTGGAATGGCTGCCCATGAGAAAATCGCATAAGACCGGAAAATGGAGAAGTGTGAGATCAGCCATTTTAAACATTAGAAGCAAATTGTTTCTTCCGAGGGCTGCCTTCCCCAGGAAAAATGCTGACTTTGGCAGCACCTTTATGTTTGCAGAGCACCCTGTGTGCAGCAAGCCATTGCTGCTGTGCAGTGGTCAATGAGATCAGGACGATCTCTGCAGTACAGAACAGTTTGATTGTAGGATGTGAACATCCACTGACACAATTATTGCAGAGATCAGAAGTATCTGGTTTACCTGTGGGAAGCTAAAACTGCTAGGAGTGTGTTGGCTCTGGCTCTGCAGACTTTTAGTGGGAGAGAAGTGAAGTTAGTATTTCTTTTGCAGATTGCTTGAGTGATTCCCTGATTTCTGCCTGTCTTTACTGTAGGCTCTTGGGAAAGTAACATTTCTATTCTTCCTTTATGTTGAGCCTTTTTCAGTGGGACCCTGATCTTGCTGGACCTAAACAGAGCTGCTGCAAAATTAGAGTACTGCCATTTGTTCCTCTCCCACTCTAAGGCAACTGCTTCGTAAAACATGTTCATACTATCTTTTTCCAGGGTTTTAAAATTTGATGCATTCCTAAAATGCAAGAGGGCTTAGAGAAGAGTGAAGGTTGATTCTCAAAGTTACAAATCCTGCTGCCTTTCCAAATAAAATTAAACAGCATCCTGGTCTCACCTGTATGCTTGCTGACCATCTCAGCATTAGGAAGACATCCTAATGTGCTTTCTGCTGCTGTTTTGTTATTACACATACACATACCCTTTTCTCTTTTTTTTCATAATAGCTAGCTCTTTATGCTTCAGAGACTGTCAGATGAGAATAACAGGACATCCATGATATTCATAATATTTGTAGCAGCTGTCAAATGATACTGTCTTAGTGTGGAAGATATGTAGTTCTGCAGAGTGACAGCTGTGGCTTGTATATGTTTGAAGCAGCCCTCTCTATCTGAAGGGTGGTGGCACCCAGACATATAGCAGTCTTACTCTGATTGACAACCTTTTTTATTCTCCTGTCTTGTTTTTTTTTTTTTTTTTTGATTGTACAAACACTGTCATATTGCTTCATCATTGCCTTTTTATCCAATCAAGCAAAGGGGACAGTACAGTATCTAGAAAAACAGTTTTTCTAGATGTTCTAAG